CTTGCTTAGAAATGGCTTCCTCTTTGCACTGTAGAGTTTCAGCTGGCAACGGCGGATGGCACGGTGGATTGTGTTCACTGACAATGCTTTCTGGAAGTATTCCTGAGCCCATTCTGTTATTTCCTTGACAGTGGCATTCCTGTTTGAGGTGCAGTGACGTTTAAGGGCCCGGAGATCACGAGCATCCAGTAGAGTTTTACGGCCTTGACCCTTACGCACAGTGATTGTTCCAGATTCTCTGAATCTTTTGATGATGTTATGCATGGTTGATGATGATAACTTAAAACTCTGAGAAGCTCTTTTTATACCCAATCATGTTGTCAATTGACCTAATTAGTGTTAAATGGTCTTCCAGCTGTTCGTTATATGCTCAATTTCCTTTTTCCAGCCACTTATTGCTACTTGTCCCAACTTTTTTGGAATTTGTTGACACTGTGAAATTTTGAATCAACATATTTTTCCTTTAAAATGTTACATTTACTCAGATTAAACTTTTGATCTGTCATCTATGTTATATTACAAATAAAATATTGACATTTGCCATCACATCATTGCATTCAGTTTTTATTCACAATTTGTTTAGTGTCCCAACTTTTTTGGAATCCGGTTTGTACTTCTAACCTACAAAGCTCTCAACAACCTGGCTCCATCTTATATTACAGATCTTATTCTTCCATATTTTCCTAACAGAGCACTTCACTCTCAGACTGCAGGTTTACTTGTGGTTCCTAGAATTTACAAAAACAGAATGGGAGGCAGATCTTTCAGTTCTCAGGCTCCTCTCTTGTGGAACCAACTTCCAGTTTCTGTCCGTGAGGCTGACACATTATCCAGTTTTAAAACTAGGCTTAAGACTTTCCTTTTTGATAAATCCTATAGTTAGGGTCAGCTTGGGTTTCCTGAGCTGTCCCTTAGTTATGCTGCTATAGACTTAGACTGCTGGAGGACAAACTGACCACAATTTTCACTCTGCTACTGTCTTTACTTACTCTGCTCAACCTGTTTTGTATTTGTAATTATTTTTTTCTATCCTTGACATGTGTTTTTGTTTTTCAGGGACACCTGGACCTACCATTCTGTGTTCGTTTGTCTCTCCTTTCTGTCCTCTCAAACCAGCCGGTCAAAGCAGATGGTCTCTTGTCCTGAGCCTAGTTTTCTGCTGGAGGTTTCTTCCTGTTAAAAGGGAGTTTTTCTTTCCACTGTCTCCACTGTGCTTGCTCAGGATGGGAGACTGCAACGAAGCCAAGATTCAACTTGTCTGCTGGATTCCTTAGATAAAGAACTTTACTAATTGGCTTTTATGTGAATGTTCCTATAAAGTGCCTGAGACAACTTTGTTGTGATTTGGTGCTATATAAATAAACTGAATTGAATTGAATTGAAAATGCTGTTGCGGTGAATGTTGGACTTACCAGGCTCATTGATTCGACCAAAGGAATGTCTGGTGTTGTGTTTGCGTGTCTTGAAGCAGTTTTCACAGAAGTCAAAATCATCACAGTTTTTGCACTTGAATCTTGGGCCATTAATAGGAAACATCTGACAACCATCACACCTGCAGACAATATGGACTTTACATTTTAATAACACACAGAGAATCTGCAACCATATCATATTTCATCTCATATTTAGATATCACACAAAAAAGATGTTATCTGACAACTGGTGAATTCACTAAGTCAAATATACAATTAATGAAAGGAATGGCTTGGTGTTTGCTTAACAATGGTATAATTGTCATGGCAATTTTGTGGTTTTCATAAAAATCACGATCAATGATTTAAGTGAACTGGAGATGTAAAGAGGAAAGACAGGAGATCCACTGGTTACTCCAAAATATACAATCAGCATTTTCATCAGGTATACCACAGTGCATACAGTACTACAGTGCCTTGCAAAAGTATTCGGCCCCCTTGAACGTTTCAACCTTTTGCCACATTTCAGGCTTCAAACATAAAGATAGAAATTTTTAGTTTTTTGTGAAGAACAACAACAAGTGGGACACAATCGTGAAGTGGAATTAAATTTATTGGATGTGTCAAACTTTTTTAACAATTAAAAAACTGAAAAGTGGGGCGTACAATATTATTAGACCCCTTTACTTTCAGAGCAGCAAACTCAGTCCAGAAGTTCAGTGAGGATCTATGAATGATCCAACGTTGTCCCAAATGACTGATGATGATAAATAGAATCCACCTGTGTGTAATCAAGTCTCCGTATAAATGCACCTGCTCTGTGATAGTCTCAGGGTTCTGTTCAAAGCACAGAGAGCATCATGAAGACCAAGAAACACACCAGGCAGGTCCGAGATACTGTTGTGGAGAAGTTTAAAGCCGGATTTGGATACAAAACGATTTCCCAAGCTTTAAACATCCCAAGGAGCACTGTGCAAGCAATCATATTGAAATGGAAGGAGTATCAGACCACTGCAAATCTACCAAGACCCGGCCGTCCCTCTAAACTTTCATCTGGAACAAGGAGAAGACTGATCAGAGATGCAGCCAAGAGGCCCATGATCACTCTGGATGAACTGCAGAGATCTACAGCTGAGGTGGGAGAGTCTGTCCATAGGACAACAATCAGTCGTACACTGCACAAATCTGGCCTTTATGGAAGAGTGGCAAGAAGAAAGCCATTTCTCAAAGATCTCCATAAAAAGTGTTGTTTAAAGTTTGTCACCTGGGAGACACCAAACATGTGGAAGAAGGTGCTCTGGTCACATGAAACCAAAATCCAACTGTTTGGACACAATGTAAAACGATATGTTTGGAGTAAAAGCAACACAGCTCATCACCCTGAACACACCATCCCCACTGTCAAACATGGTGGTGGCAGCATCTGGCCTTTATGGAAGAGTGGCAAGAAGAAAGCTATTTCTCAAAGATATCCATAAAAAGTGTTGTTTAAAGTTTGCCACAAGCACCTGGGAGACACACCAAGCATGTGGAAGAAGGTGCTCTGGTCAGATGAAACCAAAATCCAACTGTTTGGCCACAAGGCAAAACGATATGTTTGGCGTAAATGCAACACAGCTCATCACCCTGAACACACCATCCCCACTGTCAAACATGGTGGTGGCAGCATC